ACAGAGGCATTGTTGTGTTAGAATAGAAAATGGTCCTGTTCAAACTATTGGTATAAAATAAGCAGCACACAATTCCCTAGAATAGCATTTATGTGTTTTTTTTTTTTTTTTTTTTTTTACTAGTGTCTCATTATATGGACTCACTGTATCAGTAAAAATAGTTCTACTTAAAAAAAAGTGACTTAAGTCCACTGTGTTCTGTGCCATCAGTTGCAATTTGTCTAGCTGTTTTTGAGCACAAGAGCACATTCTATATGTACAACATTGTAGCCTCTCTAAACTGTTTAGAGTTCAGTTGACAAAAAATGTAAAATTCATAAAAAAAAAAAAACATATTATATTTTGATGCTCGATCATTGCTGTCCAAGTACTCCAAGTGTGACAAATTAATTCAAAACCTATCAACTTCAATGCTGGTCCAGGGTTACTCTGTGTTCCATTAGGATAAGATGACCCAGACTTGCTGTGTCCGCCTGATCTTCCAGCCACCTGCTCCAGGCAAGAGAAACTGGAGACGGAGGCTGACGGTCTATATTTAGCTGTGCAGGCAGCAGACACTGTATTTGGGCTTTAAGGTTAAAAATATGGATATCTATGTACAGTCAGGCCAGAGTACAGTACGATGCACTGAATAGTGTCTTTACCCCGAGTCTATTTTAGCTTACTGCCTCTGATCTTCAGCTTCTGATCTGTGTGTGTGTTGTGTAGCACAACCTTGCTTCCTTTTTTTAAAGGTAACTGGACTCAAGAGAGGGACTGTAAAATGACTTTTCTTTAAAACAGCAAAGTACGCTGAATTTGAAATAATGACTTTAGCTGTGTAATAGAGAGGATGTAATTTTAGCTTGAAGCCATTAGTTCCTCAGGGAATTTGAAGTTTTAGGGCTTATCACCCCCCACCCCAAACACACTTTCACAAGTTTTTTTTTTTTTTTACAATTAGACTCTGTATTTTTTTTCCAGTGTCCAGACAATATCCTGTATCATATTAACAACAGAAATTGTAATTGATGTCAACTTTTATTATAAAGTCATTACACAATTTCAGAATGTGCTAGGAAATACTGAACAATATTGAATGTTGAAAAAAATAAATAAAATTTGTGTGTGTGTGTGTGTATGTTTCGGGGACCAAATTTCCCCAAAAGGATATTAATACCAGTACATTTTTGCTGGTCCCCATTAGGAAACAAACTTATAAATCACACAGAATTATCTTTTTTTTTTTAATCTAAAAATGCAAAAAAATAAAATAATAATATTGTTTCTTTTTTCTTTCCTTCTGTGGTAGGTATATATATATATATATATATACGCGTGATCAGAATTGTTGGTACCCTGTGTTAAATATGATCAAAGAAGGCTATGAACATAAATCTGCATTGTTAATCCTTTTGATATTTTATTTTAAAAATTCACAAAATCTAACCTTTAATTGGAGAATAAGAATTTAAAATGGGGGGAAATATCATTATGAAATAAATGTTTTTTCTCTAATACACATTGGACACAATTAACGTTACCCTTTTATTCAATACTTTTTGAAACC